GCGAGCGAGAGAGGGCAGAGAGTGGTAGAGAGGTGAATTGTATAGGTATATAGGTTAAATAATTGTATACTATATATGTGTATTTGTATATTTTGGCGAATTATATATATACAAACGTGACTAATATACAAATTCGAAGTCAATCCATGTAATTAACGTATAATGTTAGTCGTGAGTGATAATTATAGCAAACTATAGATATGATGAGTAATTAAATAGTATAAATTTGCTTAACCGCGTAATTTCCCCTATTTACTATACCTTTTCGGCCTTGAAACGTCCTCAAAATGTCAATATATATATATATATATACATATATATATATATATATATATATATATATATTTGTCATGTCTAAATGAAATTGCTTAAAAGAACTCAATTAAAGTTTCATCTCTCTCTAAAACATATAGATCAACTATATTTAGTGATTTGAATTAATTACAACCGTGTTTTGATTTTCCCTTTCCAAATTAATTTCAGATTCATAAGTTGAATTGGTTTAGGATTTGATTTTCAAACTATATAATAATATGAGTAGTAGATTACCTTTTTTGTACCTTCACATGTCGAACCCTAGGAAGAAATTGCAATATTGTCGTCCCGATAGGAATATTGAATATTTTTATCCTGAATGGAACGCAAAGGTTAAAATTTCTCAAAAAATAAGTATCAATAACCATATTGATTCTTCTTCTTCATCTAATTTACCCATATTATACATTAAATTTCAGTTTGATACATTGTTTACTGGACGACTTGACCAAGAGATACCTTATGGCAGATTAATCCAGATCAAACTTTTCCATTCAGCTACATACATGTCACGTGACAAGTTCTTTCGTGTCATAGAAGATAATTTCAAAAAATTATGGGGTGACTTATTTGATAAGAATGAACGTCGAGTTTTCATTGAAGATATGATTAAAGAAATCCATGAAATTATTTATGATAAGTGTAACAAGGGTCGCCAACACTTGGATGTGAGCATTCACATGAGTTTATTCGCTTCAAACATAGTGAAGTTGTTATGGAAGATGGAGAATAATGAAGATGTTATGAAGGATGATTGTATCATTTGTTTCGAAGAGTTTGGAAAGAGAGAAAAAGAAGTGATTTGTATGCCGTGCTCCCATATTTTTCATGGAAGTTGCATTACGACATGGCTACAAAATGGACATTCTTGCCCTATTTGCCGTTATGATCTTCGAGTCAAATAAGTAATAGATATTTGAGTGATTCATATATTTTCAACTATTTTTCATGTTTAGCATAAATTTTGAATAGTCTAATACTTATATGTTTTGATTGTGTACTATTTGCTGCTTTGCATGCAATGTTTTCTTTTCACATACAATATTTTAATTTCTATCGTATCGTGCACTTAAAGGCCACAATCGTTATTTCGGAAACAAACATTCTAGCTTAACCGACTCAAATCGACTCGTGAATACCTAGCCCCGACAAATGTATCTCGTTGGATTCGTCGTCGTTGCCGTTGTTATTGTTGTATGACTGTTTCACCCTTAACCAGAGGTCTCGAGTTTAAACCTTGATATGGAAAAATAACTGTTGGGAGTGTCATCCCGAATAGGATTTGTGGTAATTCGAATTTAGTGGAGACTCCAACGTGAATTATTTTTTAAAAAAAAACATTCTCACACGTGCACTTTTAAATAGTGATTCAATTACACTTTATTTTATTTTATTGAACTTTCAATAGTCATTATATTACATGTGAGTTGAATATGCTAAGAAACTTCTTAAGATTTACCAAAACTTCGTATTTGAATCTGCAGAATATGTGTACATGCACGATGCATATATATATTATTTTTATATTTTTTGGATTTTTTCTGTTCGTTTGATAATTTATTAAACTCAAAATCACTACAACAACTATAATAACTATTCGTGCATACTCAGTAAAGTCAGTATAATTTCATAAGTGTGGATAATATGTACGTAGACATTATTTGAAGTTTGGATTCGACTCAAGACTCAACCTCAACGACCCGAGGTTTGACACCCAATGCATCTTTGGCATTGTAATGTCGAGTACATGCAATTAAACTATTTTTGAAATAATAAACAAGTAAAAATAAACTGACGAAATATTTATTATTGCAATTTTGGAGTCATTGCGTATGTAATAAATTAAAATACATTACGTATGCATTAGAATATGAATGCACTTTACAATTAATACAATTATATCTTGTTTTAACCCTCGTGAGTTCCCAAATACTTTGACTGTAGAATATTCATTGAAAATAAATTCAGTCAACGTAAAAGTACATCTTGTACTTAAAAAATACTTATAAGTCTCGATCTACGTATATTATTTTTCTCAGACTTAATTTGCGAGATTACATTAACTATATTGTTACATTATACTTAAAAAGTAGTCCTTTTATACCTACTCTTTTAACTTCCCATATTTTGAATATATGAAAACATGTGTATTATATGTATTATAATATTTTTAATTTATATGTGTGTTTAGTGTACTTATGGTTCAACGTTTTACTAGACCCCAATATATAACCTATGATTCTCGTGATTCCTTTAGTACAATTTGGTCGAGTTCGTCGTACCGAGCTTGTTTTAATAGATATTTTTTATGCATGTGACTTGTGAGCTATTGTTTAAGAACATCGATATTCAGTATACATCCAATAGATAGCAATCAAAGGTTTACTGTTTATTCAGTACATATTAGATAAATGGTGACTGCGAATTTTCCTAGAGGTTTCAAAAACAATAAAAATTCGAGGACAATTCTAAGATACTTCCTTTTTTGGTAGAACTCATGCAAATATTAACTTTTTCTACCATAAGTAACTACGTAGACTCGACCATCTCAAGATTTGAATTTTATGAGTTTTGTCGGAATTCGATTACATCTCATTTGATTTATATACATGGTATACATGCATGTATCGTTGTCATCATCACGAGAAGTTTATTATTTCTTATTAAAAATTCAAACGTTTTTAATTTCTTCCCATCTCTCACATGAATTACTACCTTTTTTTTTGGAGTTTGAAATTTTCAAAAAGAAAATGTCAAAATTGTCTTTTTTTCAATGAGTCAAAATTCAACATGATTCTAATCAAGTACCTATATATATGTCCTATCCTAAATCATGTTATTACAAAAAACAAACTCTACAAAATTAAAATCATATAAGTTATATCTCTCTCCAAACTTAACGTGTTAGTTATCCATCGTATATATCTATATATACAAAAGAATCAATTCGTTCAGAACTCAGTTGATTGTGTTTAGAACGTCCTTGATTCGTGTATTCTATTTGATTATTTGCAAAAAAATAACCAAAAAAAAATGTCGATTTCTCTTGAAGCATTGGCTATGATGGGAGGTGATTATGTTAAAGATGGAATTAGCTTTGAAGAATATGAGAAATATGAAGAACAAGTGCCTCCTCATTTGTTAGTTGATGAAGAAGATGATGAAAATATTTACACAAAAAAATCATACCTACATTTTTTTTCTTCTCATCAAGAGTTTCTTCGTAGACGTGAAAATAATGATGAACTATTGACACCAGTCCTACATTTTGTCTCTGTGGATCGAGGAGGAAAGAGGCTCGAAAAAGGGAAGCAAAAGAAGCTTTTAATTCAAAAGCATAGTAGTTTTTGGGAGGTCTTGAAAAAGAAGGATCTATCAAGTTTTCTTGAGAGTAATAGGAATAATCATTGTATAATGTCGTCATAACTATTCATATCGTCAATCTCTAACTTGTTTGAGACTGAGGTGTAGATATGATTGTTGTATAGTAGTTCTAGAATCCCAAACTCGAACCCATAGTATTCAAACTCAATCTCCTCCTCACAACTAGTGAATAAGGTACGGAGCCACAAAGATCCAATCCTAACTTGTTTGAAATTGAGACGTAGCTATAATGGTTGTTCTAGTTCTAGAATCCCAAACTCGAACCCATAGTATTCAAACTCAATCTCCTCCACACAACATTTGAAGAAGGCATGGAGGGCACAAAGGTGTTCATCTCTGAATCCTCTTCGTTGAAAAATTAGTATTGTATATATAATCAAAATTGTTTTTAATATATAGGTAATAAATGTTGATTTATTTTTTTTTTGACTTCCTGGTCATGTGCTTATTATTTTATATATTTTGAATCGTCTTAATAAAAGTTTTGACTCGGCATTGTATACAACAAAATTATTTTTATATACGTATATACCTAACCAATTGGCACAAAGTCGTACGTGGAAGAATGAAATACAAGTTATGTTGTTATATGTGCAAGTATGTTTACACCATAAGTGAAGTTTAAACTTATTATAATGTTTCAAAAGCCATGTTATATATAATATAATATGTTACCTTTATTCTCAAAGTATATATGTAAAATATATTTATATTGTTTGTGTATATAAAACATTTTTCTACGTCGTCATATTTATTTCTAGTAATATATCTTTAATCCATCGTATTAGAATTAACTATTTGGCGATGATATTCAATACTATATACCACCCTCGTATACACCATGGCTTTTTCACGATAAAAATGACACTATCGCCCCATCGACAATGATCCTTTATAAGAATGAACTGATAGTGTAAAAATTCTTTATGTTACTAGCGTATAAAAGTTGAAACTTTTAACATAAATCAACTAGCAAATAGACAACAAATTTGGGTCTTATTTTACATTTGTGGAAAGGCCCAATTCCAAAATTTTACTACTTCCTACATGTCTATATGGCCCATTGGGCTAAACATATTCATCAAAAGGCCCATTGGGCTAAAAATATATTCATCAAAAGGCCCATTTGTATTGATATACTAATCAAAACTACAAATATTTTCAATTTTTTTTTTTCATAAACTTCATTTTCAATCAAACACCGCCACGTAAATCGAAAAACGTTGCGAAAGGGAAGTCACTTTTGCACTTTTTGGAACTTATCCAAACAAAATCACAATCCAAAAGTTACAAAAAGTATATAATTCATCTCCTTTTTACTATAATCTCTTCATCACCACATATATGTTCCCTATAACAACTGGTAATATAAACTCTTCATACATTGAATGAACATGACTGTATCATAACAACAAATATCTTCTCTAAGACATAGAAAAAGTGTCCACAAAACCATTAAATTCCCAGTAGAAAAGGCGAAAAAAGCAACTCGAGTCACGGATATATCAACGAATTCATATGTTCTGTATGTATAAAGTGTCTAGGCTGCTATAACTTCTTTCACATGTCAGAATTTTGTATCGAAAATGAAAAGAACAACAATGCACGAGATATGTTAAGGGCGGAATCAGTATAAATACGCTTCATCAATGTCAAATAACTTACCTTATTTCGAAGACTTTAGAGCCTTGACGAGAGAGAATAGGAGAGTTTGAAGCTATGTCAGTTGATGCTCTTGCTATGTCGGGTGCAGATTACATGAAGTGCACTGTTCATTTTGAAGATACTAATACGAATCAGAGGACCTCGGAAAGGACACCACAGTACCTTCTTGCTGATGAAAGTGACGGAGGGAATCATGATCACGGGCAATGGTTAGGACAGGCAAGGAGACGAGCAAACGTCAACGTTCAAGCTGAGGCCACAGCATCTGCAAATGTAAAGTCAGATTATAGTCTTGTACAAGAAAGTTGTACATGTCATTAAAAGTAATAGTACCTTCATACTGTGTTGCTCGGACTCTCCAAAAATGTTGTTGGACCAGTGTCGGATCCTCCAGAAATGAACTAACTTTGGAGGATCCAACACACACCTGTTAGCACTTTTTGAAAAGTCCGAGTAACATAAGCCTTCAGGAATAGGATTAGCTTACCTTGTGATGTGATAACACTTCCAAAGGATGTGTATTGTTCCAGGAAAGCATAATCGTTCAACAAATAATGAATGAAATCAATACATAAATACTGCGTATTATATAAATCGTCACTTACCATAGCACAAATGAGGCCTTCTCCCTGCAGATATCAACAAAGACAAAAAAAACAAATAATTTACTCATCAATTCTGTGTGTATGATGCAGTCATAGTGTCAATGTATCGTATAATACGAAGAATACTAGAGACCTCTAGAATCCAGATAGAGCAAAACTCAAATCACTATAACAAAGATTGATGTTACAATTGAAACAAAAAGAAAGTCGATATATATTATGTCGCAGCACAGACCAACCATACAGGAAAAAATCGATTAAATAAGAGAAGCATACGAAAAACGATACAATCAAGATATGACACAAGCAATATGAAAACGTGGAATGATTGCCACTTAGCGACAAGTTCTATGTATCAAAGAGGAGACTATTACAGGAAATTATGTACTTGTTTGGAGTTACAGATCTTGTTATCTTCCACCAGACAGTTCAACTGCATCTTGATTATAGATTGAATCTTCGCCCCAATCAAATCGTCGTTGTAGTCTCTCGTATTCTTGCCTACGTGTAACTTCGACATGCTGCCATTCTTCCCACCGCTCAGCAAGTCCCTCTCCTTCAAGCATTCGTACTACCTCTGACATTGCTGGACGGTCCTCTGGTGATCCTTGAGTACACAGCAATGCAACTTGAATCATCATCTCTACTTCATCCATGTTATAGTTCTTATGTAGGTTGCGGTCGACAATAGCATCCAGCCTTTTCTCCCTTTGCAGTTTTTTAACCTTCAAGATCACACATGCAGCCATTTTAGTAACCAACAACATACCCCGTGTAATTTACAAAGTGGGATCTGGGAGGGTAGAGTCCACTTAGACCTTACCCCTACCTCAGAGTAGAGTGGTTGTCTCCGATAGACCCTCGGCTCAAGGAAAAACAAACAAATGCAGTCCAGAAAAAGTAATGGATGTGAAAGCATAACAAAGCATGCTGAACAATAACTACATCAAAATAATACGACAATCGAAATACAAGAAAAAACATAGGACAAGAAACTAAAGGGGCACTACTACGACTACTAGAATGGATAGATAGCGAGAAAATGCACTATCAATAGAATCGCAAGTAAATATCAGTCATCGAGTTATGTACACTTACATGGTCAAGTAACAAGACATCATCTTCTTCTTCTAGGCGTGAAAAGTCTATAGCGCGTTGACCAGTTACAATCTCCAAAAGCATGATCCCATATCCAAAAACATCAGTTTTTTCTGATGATTTCCCAGTGGACAAGTACTCAGGAGCTATATGGCCCATAGTACCCCGAACCTGAGTAGTCACGTTGGTTTTCCTAACATCAACTAACTTTGCCAAGCCAAAATCACCAACTACAGCCTCGAAATCTTCATCCAGTAAAACATTAGCTGCTTTAACATCACGGTGAATAATTTTTGGATTACAGTGTTCATGCAGGTATTCAAGTCCACGTGCAGTGCCCAGTGCCACGCGCTTTCTGGTTGGCCAAGCTAAAACAGACTCCCCAGGTTTAAGTTCTGCATTTGACAAAATACTACAAATAAGAAGCCACCAAAATCTCATCATCTCTGGGAGATAAATACTGAATTTTAAAGTTTGAGCGACTACTGCATGTGTCATTTCAATTCATGCAAGGTTTTCAAAAAAAAAGTCACCTTCTCAGGGAAAATGATGAGTGCGCAAGAATGCATTCATGAACTTATTTAAGCTCTCATCATGGATATTGGTCAATTCATACGCAAAGTAAGTTCCTCGTGATGAGGTACAATTCAACTATGGCTCTTGAAGACTGAAGAGCACTAAATGTTTAAGAACTAACACGCTTCTAAGAATATTAGGAATACGAGTACCTATGCAAATACCCTCCTTTATTATCTGTTTATCAACTTGTCTAACTCAACTTTTGATCACTGGAAAAGTAGGCTATATGACCCTTGGTAGGAGTCTAATAGCCTAAAATCAAAATAAGCCGATTCTAGAAGCTTGGCCAAATAGGCTATTAGACAGTTAGACTCTTGAATAACCATTTTACAACAAATTTCCAGACTTCTATAGAACTTTGGCTGAGTTTGGACCAATAGTAACAACAGAAAAAGGTGATCCCAGGACAATTTGATATTGAGATAAACGAGGAAAGCCTTGGGAAACTGCAAACCAAGATGTAAGCATATTATGAAAAAATAAGTACCTCGTAGACGATAGGCAACACTTAGGTTCTGCATATACGGGTATACTAGCAAGCGTTCAGTCGGTGTGGTGCAAAATCCTATAAGCCGCAAAAGATTTCTATGAACAGCAACACTAATCATCTCAACTTCACGCTGAAATGCAGCATCTCCCCCAGGACTCTCATAGTCAGTTAAGCGTTTTACAGCAACTTTAGTGCTATCACTGAGCACTCCTTTATAAACCTTGCCAAAACCTCCCTGTCCAAGAACATTCTTTTCACTAAAGTTATCAGTAGCGAGTTGCAATTCCCTCCATGCGAATCTCCTCAATTGACCAAATGGAATTCGTCTGTCAACCTCACCTGGGCACACCGAACAGACACAAGAAAAACGTCATAACATACTCAATGGACCTATACCATCTTACAGTGCAAGTGAACTAAAGTAATGCAGATAAAAAAACCAGTCTCCAATGTAACATGGAAAGAAGAAATGTAGCAATAGATAACTACTTCAGCCTTCTTTTTTTACAGGAGAGCTAACACATACTCCTACTGTTTCAATTTGTTTGTTTCGTTTTGACTTGGCATGGAGTTTAAGAAAATAAAGAAGACTTTTGAATCTTGTTGTTCTAAACACACCACGTAAAAAGTTGAAATTGAAGAGTTGCCAAACAGAGAAAGGGGTATTCTTTTTTAAACGAGCTACAAAAGAAAGTAAGACAAACAAATTGAAATGGAGGGAGTATTTTTTTGATGAGCTAACAACACATTAATAGAGTGTAAAATAGGTGATAAGCACCTGGAACATCAACATAGATTTCACGTTTGTAGCCTTTGTTCCTCCCCCGCCAGAAAAATAACATTAATCCCCCAAGAAGGATAATTCCAAGAAATCCACCAACGATACCAATTACGAGACCAGTCTTTGATTTACTGGGAGAACCTGCCAGGATATCAACTTTAGAATTTAGAATTGTACCAGGGTGCATAAATTATCTAACTGTCAAACATCTCCAGCAACATCTAACTTCTAAAGTAAATACTTGTAATTCAAAAATGTGGTATTTGTTCTTTCAATTAATTACCTTCACTGTCAGATACACAACGATGACTGAAGTTTAAGCCACAATTCAAATGGTTCTCTGAAAAACTAGTAGGCAAACTGAGTTAAACTAATATCAACAGTTCTGACTCATGCAAAAGAGGCAGGGTGCTATTATAAAAAGGGCATAATACATAAACATACACTCAAACTTGACTTCAGCTGTTAAGTGAACACTCCAACTTTGAGTATGCACATCTAGATGCCTCAACTCGTCTTCATTGTGTCAGTTGAACACTCCAACTTACAAAAAGATCATCAAGACATCATCAAAATCTATATGCCATAGGTACCCACTAGACACAGTGGGGACTAGTTAGAGTGTTTAGTTGTTAGTTGAGACCAAATTGATGAGTCTAGATGTGCTTTCTCAAAGTTGGAGAGCTTACTTGCCATTTGAGGCCCAAGTTTGAGTGTCTATTTATATATTACCTTTTTTAAATGTTCAAATTATAAAGCAGCTTGATCTATCATCAGATTAAACAATGCAAGAATTGAGATCTGCATACTTGTATTTCGGGACTTGGAACAAACTGTCAGGAACTTTTCCAGTAAGATCATTTAATGCAAGCTGACTGGCAAAGAGATATCACCGAGTCGGGTCAAATATCACTTGGCACCGTTGTAAGCACATTAAAGATCAGGCTAAATGAACCACTTACAGGTTAATCAAGTTGGGAAGGCCTGAAAGTGAGTCAGGGATAGTCCCAGACAGATTGTTTTGACTCAAAAAACTGTTCAAAAGAAACATTAAAATAGACTCCCAAGTCAAACACCAAATGTAGAACTCAGTTCCAAAAATACTAATAATCAAAGAAACAATATTACTTACAGAAATTGAAGCTTTTTTAGATTGCCCAGGGAAGCTGGTATTTCTCCAGACAAACGGTTTTTTTCCAGATCCAACATGGTCAAGCTGGTTAAATTTCCTAGTGCTTCGGGAATCTTACCAGTTATTCCATTTCCTTGCAAAGAACTGCCAGGATGTTGACCGCCCAGTCAGTTCAATACATAACACAACTAAGGACAAGAAAATTGATGAGTACACAAATCTCGCTAAAGTAGAACTTCCTATTAACAAGGATGAGAACTTATCTTTAGGAGATCCTCTAAGCAAATGTACCAGTTATGACACTAAGAGAATAATGTGATAACGGACAGCAAATGAAGATGAAATATCCAACACTCTGTCAAAAGCATGACCAAACACTCTAAAATGTCGTTTCCTAATTATTAACTTAAAAGAATACTAATCTTTAGTTGGAAAATTGAGAACCAAAATTGCGAGTAGATTTCTACACATGCTTGTGTGGGTAGGATAGGAAAGCAATACAATCGAAAAAGGCTAAGATCCCAAACCATGCACGGGCAAAGATACAAGCAATCACCAGTCCCCCAAACAAGAGCAGTTAGTAATGTGCCAATATCATGAGTAAATTAATATCAGCTTGATGAAGGAAATCAATGAATATAGACTTCAATAGTAGCACATAACCTAACAGACTATTTTTATTTCACCGTCACATTTTCCACAATGGTTTCAAATTGTAAGTTCAACGTTATTTCCTTCCCTAAGAACAAGAAACCCTAAATTATCATCCTAATCAAAGGTCAGAGATCACAAAATAATGAACATCACACTACTTTACGAGCAGAATAGAGACAACATTAAGCCAGCACAAGCAAAATCTATCCTCCCAAGACCCCACTTGTTGGATTGCACTGGGTCTGTTGTTGTTTGTTTCAGTTGATTACATTTACCTAGTTTTCGTAAGTGGAGTGATTTATCTACTGACATTATGATTCAAGACCACACTTAACTCAAATCCAAAAATTAAAAGGAGTATGGAGTTATGAAATTCCATTATACCTATATAAGTACATCATAGATACACATTAGCATGCAATCAGAAATAATTCCACAAATTCTCTATACGTACAGAGTATTAAGATGCACTAGAACACCTAATCTTGGAGTTAAAGTGCCAGTGAACCCCATATTTGACAATGACCTGCAAATAAAACACAGACAACATTTAATATAGGATTTCAGAATGATAGTTGACCAACAAAAGCTCACGTGTTTGGGACCATAATTTTATCATGTACATGGTGATCAATATGGCTAACAAAGTAACTAAACTTACACCATCAAGACATTGCTGTTATCGTCACAAGTTATCTTTGACCAAGTGCATGGATTAACTTGATTCTGATTCCAATCAGAAAGTTGATCATTCGAAGCATTTAGTGAACTCTTCAATGCAAACAGTGCATCTCCTAATCAAAGGTCAGACATTACAAAATAACAAATGTCACACTACTTTACGAGCAGAACAGAGACAACATTAAGTCAGCACAAGCAAAATTATCCAACCCCTCTAAATTTTTCTTGATACCTTTGAATAGATAAAAGAGTAAAGACAGCAAAGGGTATCTCTTTCTTAGTTTGCTAAAGTAGTAAATGGGAGAAATGTGTACCCTGCTGATCAGGCGAGACAAATGAGTAGAGACATGCTAATATCAGAATTGCAAGGAACAGTTCCATACTGCAGTTACTGTTCAATTCTATAGATCATGTAAACTTGTTTCCCTTCATCGCTGTAACATAAAGCACTATCTTCCTTGGTAATGACAAATGGCGGTTCTGCATAATATACTAGAAAGATTACTACGAGCAAAATTAGTATAACCTCAAGGGGAACAGCTAAGCCTAATTAAATATGTAAAAAGAGATATTTGATGCAAGAACAACAACAAGAAGATAACCAGTGTAATACCACAAATAGGAATAGGGTAGAGTTAAGAGTGTATGCACTACCTCGTAGAGGTAGAGAGGCAGTCTCCCAAAGACCCTCGGCTCAAGGAAAAGTATATCAAAGCAATTGAAAAAGAAATAACTGAAGTGAAGGGATCATAGCAAAAATACTATAGTAAGCATGACAAAGCATTCTAAAAGAAACAGTAACTACACCAAAAAAGTGTGATAATTGAAGTACAAAGAACAAGAAGAAAATTGTAGTGGTCGATGATATAGATGAATCACATGGAAAGCGGCATTTGCCCTCTATTAATAATGTAAAGCATGTAACCACATACTACGAACTGCAAACCCCATAAAAGTAAACTGTAGCAGTATTGCAGAATCGTAAAAGTTATTAGGAGTTGAAAGAACAACTAAACACTCATCTTCTCCATCAAACAATATTTCAGCTACCACCAATAATGTCAACCATCCAAAGGAAGAATTGATCTGCAAACTTTCAGACAATCGACAAACCTGTCCTTTTCTTTAACAAAGACCAGATATTTTCGCCAACAATTTTTTGAATACCTATTGGTTATGTCTAGATAACCACAAGAATATAACAAACCTGCTATGTAATTCCCCCATTTTCTCAAAATACATCAAGTGAGTAATGAACTATTACAAAAAACTTTCAGTAACTTATTAAGGAGACAGACACAAGTTCTTCAAAAGAAACTCCAACAAAGGTTGTTGTACCAAAAACACTGACTGTGTACTTATTCAAATCTCCTTCTCAACCATTGTAATTCCTAAAACTTAACCAAACTCACAAATATTCAAGTTCATTCTTCTTTCCATTGCCCCTTATGGTTTCATTTCTCGCATGGTCACTCAACTAACCGCTATTATCTCATAAAGTCTTTCCTCTTGACTCCAATTTTCTTCGAAAAAAAATAACTTTCTGACATAATAACTGTTAGTCGAGAGACCATATGCAAAATCAACTATGCCCCCTTCTATTTCACCACATGTATCACAGAAAACAAACACTTAGCAACTCCCTTCTCCACCCAAAAAAGAAAAGAACCCCACATCCTCAAATTCACAAAATCCATCAAGAACAAATTTTTCCAAGAAAAAAGTTCACTTTTTTGCTTCCATATGTCAAGTCAAATCAGAAAAGACAAACCCACCATATCTAAAGACAAAACACCATTCTCAATACACGAAACAAATAACAGTAAATGACAGAATCTGAAAACAAAAACAGAACAAAACAATAACAAGAGCTGAGTAAGTTAAGTACCTTTAAGCAAGCACCAATCTTTATAGGCTGTGAAAGAAAGAGCAGAGTTTGAACCAAAGATTAAAACTTTACTTTGAATTAAGCAAAAAAATAAGCTTTACAAAGCAAATCTTGAAGAAAAAACACAAAGAAAAGCTGTTCTTTGTTGTGCTGTAAAAAAAAAAAAGCAGTAGTCAATGGAGAAGAAGTTCAAGAAAGTTTCTATCTTTTGCATATGCTTTCTGCAATTATTACTACGTTTAAGTCTTCTCTTCCTGTCATCCCCAGCAGTATTTCTTAGTTACACCCCCCCCCCACCCCACCCCACCCCACCCTCCTCTCCACATCCCCATGGTGGCTAACTGGAAGTGGACCCAATTGATCCTTTTTTCCTTTCATTTTTACTGGTAAATGTGTAGAAAGGGATATTAGAAAATGGAAAGATCTTTGGTGTTTTCTAGTGAAGCATAATGGATTTATGGAGTTTCGGATATGGAGAAAATTTTATAAAAATTATTATTTTAAATAGATTTTATAGTGTATAATTTTAATTTAGTGAGTTTTTATGTGAACTATAAATGGTATTAATTTGAGGAGGGGGGTCGGTGGGATATTTTCAATTTTTTTACTTCAAAAATATTTAAGTTAATCACAATCATTGTTAAATTTTATAGTTATTTCGCGGTAGATCATAATATCAAAAAAAAAAATACTCATAAAAAAATAGAAAAAAGTTTAATAGATGGGAAATCAAAAAAAAAAATTGTAGATTGTTTTTAGGTTAATTAGTATAAATGTCAAGATAAAAATAGTGGGGTTATAGTGAAAACAAAAAAAAATATTTCTAAATGGAGGGTCCCTAATTTTAGCTATTTTATTTTATTAAAATATTTCTTCCACTTCAAAAAAGGAAAAAAGTAATATGAACTTTTATTTTAAAAAAAAAAGGAGCATCCAAAGTTTTTATTAGTCAATTAATTATGGAATGAAGAATAAAACTCTATGTATCAAAAAATAAAATAAAATGTAGAATGAAATTCTATTTGAGTCACTAAATAGAATTCCAATTTGAATTTTATATATATATATATATATATATATATATATATATATATATATAT